TTTAGCACAGCACTTAATATTTGTAACTTTTAACTTCCTATTTGTTTAAAAATATTCTAAGAGATGGCTGGACTTTGTAGTTTATCTACAAAAAACTCAGACCAAAATGATTTGTCCAAGGATGCTTGTAATATACGTTAATATAAACATTTTATTTCCAAGTGATATCAGTTGCCTCAAGCAACCAGTGAGCTCCTGAGAGTTTCAGCAGCTCCTGGAGCAGCTGTCCCCACCGCTGGCAGGAGTGCTGGTGATGGGAGCTCTCTGCTTCCTCTCAGGAGCCTCATGTCACCATCTGCCTAGAGGCCAGTAGGTCTTGTCATGAATCAACAGGATATAAATGTCCCTGACAGTTATGCCCTGTTCATATTAGTCACCAAAGAATGCCTGGCTCCTGTGCCTCTCCAGGAGATTCCTGTCTCTCCGGGCTGAGCCTCGAGCTCCACATCCTCCACATCTGGCTCCGGGCATCCTTTTTCCTACCATATATTCCAGCTGCCTCAAGCCCGAGACACCCTCCCCATGCCTGGGGAACTCATGGGCAGTCAGCAGTCACCGCCATGTCATCGCATTCTGCTGCCTCAATGTTTTCCTTACATTCTTCCCTAACCGAAGCAGGCTTTTCCCAAAGACACTGCTTCACCCACAGCACCCTCAAATGCTTTTGTGACTGCACCCCTAGTACCACTAAGCATTGCTCTACAGTGATCTAAGTAAATGTTTTCCCTTTCTCCCAAAGCCCTCCAACTTTCCATTTTAACCCATCAGGCTACACCATACACTATTTCTCCTGTAGTCAGCTACTGACATCCACCTCTCCCTCTCGCTCTCGCTCTCCCCCTCCCTGCTCCTCCTCTCCTCCCCCTCCCCACTCCTCCTCTCCCCCCACCCCCCCGCTCCCTCCTCTCCCTCTCCCTCTCCCATTCCTCAAATCTTCAGTTTGCAATTCTGGAGGGTCTCAGCGTGCACATGGGTGGTACTCTCAACTCCCAGATTTCCCAAATCCATAACCTCAGCTTCTCTGGTCACCTGTCCTCCATCTGAAATCAGACACTCAGTCTCCCTGGGACTCCTACCATCTCCTTGATGCTAACCATGCAGCTCCTCCACAAGCTCAAAGCAAAGTCTTTCATTCTTCGGCCAAAGCCTGTTTGTCCAGTTCAATCCTTCTAGTACCCAAATCCTAAAAATTCTTTGAGCTGCTGGCGTCTGTAACCAACTTTCCCTGTCCTCTCTCATCTGACGTCTCTGCTTGCCCAGCTGAAATTTCATGGTCAGTCATAACCACTCCCTTAGATTCACCCTCAGCTTATACTGTTATTGTAACAGTGTAGGATTAGATTCACCCTCAGCTTATACTGCTATTGTAACAGTGTAGGATTAGAGTCACCCTCAGCTTATAATGCTATTGTAACAGTGTAGGATTAGATTCACCCTCAGCTTATACTGCTATTGTAACAGTGTAGGATTAGAGTCACCCTCAGCTTATAATGCTATTGTAACAGTGTAGGATTAGATTCACCCTCAGCTTATACTGCTATTGTAACAGTGTAGGATTAGATTCACCCTCAGCTTACACTGTTATTGTAACAGTGTAGGATTAGATTCACCCTCAGCTTACACTGCTATTGTAACAGTGTAGGATTAGATTCACCCTCAGCTTACACTGCTATTGTAACAGTGTAGAATTAGATTCACCCTCAGCTTACACTGCTATTGTAACAGTGTAGGATTAGATTCACCCTCAGCTTACACTGCTATTGTAACAGTGTAGGATTAGATTCACCCTCAGCTTACACTGCTATTGTAACAGTGTAGGATTAGATTCACCCTCAGCTTACACTGCTATTGTATCAGTGTAGGATTAGATTCACCCTCAGCTTACACTGCTATTGTAACAGTGTAGGATTAGAGTCACCCTCAGCTTATACTGCTATTGTAACAGTGTAGGATTAGATTCACCCTCAGCTTCTTAGCCTTCCTCTTGTTTTTGTTCCATTTCAACAGCAAAACATCAATGCCAGACCTTTTCTGTGTCTGTGCCTACAGAGATGAGTGTGCCAGAAAAACACCCACAGAGTGACCTCACTCCAAATTCATCCATATTCCAAGTTTATTCCCTCCGCACCCTCCTAAATGAGTTTCATTATCCTCTCCTGATAATTTTGGGTTTGGCTGTGTCCCCACCCAAAATCTCATTTTGAATTAGAATCCCCATGTGTCAAGGGCAGGACCAAGAGTGGTGATTGGATCATGGCGGTGGTTCCCCCATGCTGTTCTCATGATAGTGAGTGAGTTCTCACGCGATCTGATGGTTTTATAAGTGGCTGGCATTTCCCCTACTTGCACTTCTCCCTCCTGCTGCCTTGTGAAGTAGGTGCCTTGCTTCCCTTCACCTTCCGCCGTGATTGTAAGTTTCCTGAGGCCTTCCCAGTCATGCGGAACTGTGAGTCAATTAAACTCTTTCCTCTGTAACCCAGTCTCAGGTATTTCCTTATAGCAATTTGAGACCAGACTAATACATCTCTTTTCCCTGTAAAACTCTTCCCCCATCTTTATTCTCAGCTAATGACCTAACTCTGTTTCACCAAGAAAAGAGAAACAACCAGCAGAGACAGTCAGGAAGGTTTACCATCAAAACGCTGCCCGCACTGCTACCAGGTGGAACCGGCCTCTCTCTTGTCTAAGGCCACGCCTACATCCAAGGACCAGGGCTGGGATTGCAGGTGTGAGCCACCACGCCTGGCTTGCTCCCACTTTACTGCAGCCCTATCTTATGCAGCCTGGCTCCTCTTTGTTTTGCCCAGTCCTCCTTCCCTCCCACGGTCACACTGGCTTCTGGAGTGTGGTGAATGGTAAAGCCAGGCACGCCGTCACATCAGAGCCTCTGTCCTTTCTTCCTGCACTCTCTGGAAATCTCCTTTCCCAGATGTCACCATGAGGCTTTCCTGGATAACTTTCAGTCTTTATTCACCTGTCACCTGCTCAGTGAGACTCTCCCTGACCATCTTATATAAAATTTCACCGCTTCCTCCAGCATTCGTTGTCCTTCTTTTGTGTGTATCTGTGACAGAGTCTTGCTCTGTAACCCAGACTGGAGTGCAATGGCGCGATCTTGGCTCACTGCAACCTCCACCTCTTGGGTTCTGGATTCTCCTGCGTCAGCCTCCAGAGTAGCTGGGATTACAGGCATTCACCACCATGCCCGGTTAATATTTTGTATTTTTAGTAGAGATGGGGTTTCTCCATGTTGGCCAGGCTGGTCTTGAACTTCCAGCCTCAAGTGATCTTCCCACCTTGGCCTCCCAAAGTGCTAGGATTACAGGCATGAACCACCACACCTGGCCACTGTCCTTTCATGTCCTTTTCTCCATAGCAATGATAACCATCTAACATAAAATACACTAAATATGTTCAGTGTATAATATGGTTTTCTCTAAGTAGAATATGGAGACTTCTTTTTCACTCCTCTATCCCTATAACCTAGGATGGTACAAAGCACATAGTAGGTGCTCAGTAAGTATCAGCTGAGGGAAAGAAGTGTGTGTGTGTGTGTGTGTGTGTGTGTGTGTGTGTATCAGTGTTTTAGGAAACAGAGATCAATATTGCCGTGATACATTATATTACCATAACCAATCCTAGTAATACTAATTTTGATTATGACTCACTTAAATTTCTAGGAGAAGGCAAAGTGATCTAACTTTTATAAAACATGTCTGAGGAGATGATTACTATTGGCTTTTTTCCATACGAATTACCCACTGACTCTAAAACAAATGTGGAAACAATCTGCCAATATTCGTACAAGTTAGAAGAGAAGGCTCCATTATCTGAACAGAAATGTCAGGGTAGCAACCAGTGACTGTTGCTTTACAAAGTCTTTAGGCTTTCACTGGAAAATGGCTGTGAGGTCCAGGTGTCTTCATAAGTAGCTGTGCTTCAGAGAGTCAGTTATCAATTTTTACCCGCAGTGCGGGATAACTGATTTTGCTTATATTTGAATACACATGTATACCTGCTATTCTGGAAACTTGCAATATGAAAAAATGAAAGAGGTGTACTGTAATTTGCTAACTCAAAGATGTGGAAGTGATTCCAGTTTCTTCTCCTCTCTTAACGAATCCTTTTGCCTTTATTCTCATATTGGTAATGGGCAGTTGCATTTTGCCACATGCAGACACCAAACAAAACACACAAACCAAAAACTCATTGACGGCAGTGAGCTGCCGCATGTCCATTTGCAGGTTTCCTGGTCAAAGCTGGCAGAGACGATCTTTAGGAGTAAAAATAAGTAACGCTGGAAGTTGGGTCAACCAACCTTTTGCTAACTCTTTAAGGATAACTTGACACCTGGATTTAACATAGTAATACAGAGTTTGTAGTTCCACACAGGGATCAAGAAATGTATTTTTAAGCAGTCAAGACTATATATATGTGGACATATATATAATACTTAGCACCCTGAATTATTTACTTAGCACATCTATTTAAATTACGACATGCCTCACTGAGCACAACACAGCACTTGAATAATCCACTTTAAAGGGCCACCCTTAGTATAGATGTCACACACTCACATCTGTGTACAAAGAGGCTGCCGTGAAATACAGATAACATACCCACAGAACAACCTGGTGAAAAGAGCTCACACATCCCCCCACAGACAGCGACTCAGGAATGTCTGTGACCATTGATCCCTCAGGCAAAATTCAGCTCTGCATTTACATGTTTGCTCATCTGCCATGATACAGTGCCTGCTTCCTGCCTGAGTGTTGAGATGAAATGCACTGGCAGATAGCAGATGTGGTAATTAATAACCTGCTAGTTCTGATGGATAGAAGAGAAAAGTGTCCTCGCACGTACCTCCAGCATGGTTTTCTTCCCCATTTCAGGGCGCCCAGGGTCAGGAGACATCCCTGGCCTCCCTGGGGACCTCAAACTGTCTCATTAGCGTCTATCTTTCATGACAGTCTGACGCAGCCTTTGAGATGCTAACTCACCTGCTCTTCTCCCAGAATCCGGAAGTGATGGAGCTCTTTAATCAAGGAGTTGGGACAGCCAGCTGTTGGAAAAAAGAATGAATCACAAAAACGTCATTTTCACTCTGTGTGGTTATACATTCTTACATACAGTTTTGACTGTCCATGGCCAATGCTGCCTTTTGGGAGGACGAAGATGTGTACCTGAAAAACACACATCTAACCAACTACTAAAAAGGCCAAACCCTCAAAAGAGCTATGGCCGCTGCCTGGCCTCCAACCACACCTCTTTAGAAAACAGTTGCACGTGACTCTGGCCGGGCCTTTTCTCCCTTCTGATTATGATCTGGCCTTAGGATATCACGCCACTCTGGTTCTTAGAAACATGTCCAGAATGTCACTGGTTCCTCATATAAAGCCAGGATTCCATGGGGCCAGAGTGGGGGAGTTGGTGACCGCAGGCTCTGACTTATTCATTATGTCCTGCTTGCTCACCCTCAAGGCCAGGGGCCTGCTCATCGAGAGGTAGGAACAAAGGCAGGGCAGCTGGACATTCGCTCTTCCAAGGGCTCAGCTGGGGGTTAGTACCTTGCCTGGTTTTGCCAAGAGCCTTTGTGAAGACCTGTAAGATCCTGCGTTTGAGTGTGGAAAGGGCATCTGACAGAAGGACCAAGAGAGAAGGCCCCAGCAGTCCTGCTGCCCAGCACTTTCTTGTGCCACCAATCAATCCAAGCCTCTTTAGGCTTCACATTTTCCTTCTTCAGTTGTAAAATAAAGTAAGTAAACAGGTAAATTATATGTGTGTGTGTGTGTGTGTGTGTATGTGTGTGTGTATATATGGGAACATATAATTAAAATATATAATATGTATAAAATATAATTATATTTAATGTATAGATATGTAAAATTTATGCCAACATATAGATATATAAAATTTTGGCCAGTACATGCTTAATATCATTTAATTAGATAATGATAATTCATATCTATACATTAAATATTATATATTTTATACATATATACCTCATAAAAATTATATAATTTTATATAAATATAAAATTAATATAAATATTGGCCTTATATATATAAATTATATATAAATATACAATTTTATATAATTATATAATTAAGTATTGGCCTAAATATATATATTTATAATAAAATAACATATATAATATATATTCCACATCAAATAAAATACAGTTGACCCTTGAACAACATGGTTGTGAACTTTTGTGGGCCCACATATACACAGATTTTTCTTCTGCCTCTGCTACCCCTGAGACAGCAGGTCTCCTCCTCCCTCCTCCTCCTCCTCAGCCACTCGCTGTTAAGATAATGAAGGTGAAAACCTTTATGATGATCCACTTTCACTCAATGGATAGTTAATACATTTTCTCTTCCTTATGATTTTCTTAATAACATTTTCTTTTCTCTATTCACTTTAAGAAATATAGTGTTTTATATAATCTATAAAACATGTTCACAGACTATTTATGCTATAGGTAGGGCCTCTGGTCGACAGTGGGCTATTAGGCGTTAACTTCTGGGGAAGTCAAAGTTCCACATAGTTTTTTTGACTTCAGGGTTGTCGGTGTTCCTAAGCTTCACATTGTGTGAGGGCCGAATGTATAGATACATAAAATTCAGACCAGTAAATGCTTAATATTAGGTAAAATGTGTTGCATCCCTGTCTTTTCAATAGAACTATTCCACGATATTAGGTTGTAGTCCTTTATGCTATTATTGTTTTGAGTCAGGGTCTTACTCCAGGCTGGGGTGCAGTGTGTAACCATGGCTCATTGCAGCCTTGACCTCCTGGCTGGAGGTACCCTCCTGCTCCAGCTTCCTGAGTAGCTGGGACTACAGGTGTGTGCACCACCATGCCTGGCTAAGTTGTTTTTTCCCCTAATATTTTGTAGAGATGGTTCTCACTATGCTGTCCAGGCTTGTCTCAAACTCCTGGGCTCAAGTGACCCTCCCATTTCAGCCTCCCAAAGTGCTGGGATTACAGGAGTGAGCCACTCTGACAGGTTCAGTTATATTATTCTCTCTGGAAACAAAATTGATATAAAAACCTGTTTCGTTGAGATAAGACCTATGGATTACATTATCTGTTGAACTTCCTATTAAAGAAACTGGATTGCATGCAGAACATATGAACTAAATGATGGAGCCATTTCTCATATTCCTCAGCATTGTGATGTGAGAGTGGTCAGAAGCCCCGAGAGTGTTTATCTGGGGGAGGGCGGGCTGAAGAATGAGAAAACCTGTATTCACACAGATGAACGTGCTCATTGCAATAAAGATTGATTTGTGCATTGTTTTACAGAGTAGGACTTAAACCAACAAAAAAATGGAGCAAATTGCCTTATAAGCCAATAACTGGAGGTTCTTCAACACAGGCTAAATGAATACTTGCGCACAATACTTTAGAGAGGAATTTTACTGGGTATGATGATGAATTTGTGTGTCTACTTGATTGGGCTAAGGGGTGCCCAGATGGCTGATAACATGTTATTACTGGGTATTTGTGCGTGAGTGTTTCTGGGAGAGACTGAAACACTAAATCAATGGACCAATCCTTTTAACTCAATGGAACAAGAAGATCCACTCTCAGCAATGTTGGCAGGCACCATCCCATCCACTGAGGGCACTGTGAGCCTGACAACCTGCACAGAACAAGGGGGCAGAGAGCAGCAAATCATCTTTCTCTTATGGAGTCTCAGGCAGCAGATTTCCTGTTCTCAGGTCTTTTGATTCAAAGACTTACAAGACCCCCAAAACCGCCGCCCCTAGTTCTCAGGCCTTCATACTCCGACTGAATTAGACCAAAGGCTTTCTGGTTCTCCAGCTTGCAGAGACTGCGGGACTGCTTGGCCTCTATAATTGTGTGAGCCGTTCCCCTAGTAAATGTCCTCCTGTCTCTTTCTCTATTGATCCTGTAGAAATCCTGTATTTCACACTTTGAGAAAGTGCTTCATAAATGTTTACTGAGTAGCACAAAAGATTATAAAAATGTGAACAAAATTTAAATACAAGTGTAAACAGATGATATCACCAAGAAAATAAATAGAAATTTCGAGGTGAATATTTTAGTAGAAAACATAATACATTAGTCACCACAGGCTCGTCTGGTACTGTAGAGAAGGAAAGCTAGATCCTTCAAGTGAGACACAGATGCTTGAGCTGAGTGCTTCTCCAACTAGAGGCCCCTGAGGCTTGCAGGCTGAAGATTCTTTCTGAGAAGCTGTTCATTTTGGGGCTGCTACTCTGATGATTATCTAAACAATAGTAAAAGTATATTCTGGGTCATTTGATTGGCTTCAATTTAGCCAAAAACTGCTATGAAATTCAGCATCAGCCAGGCGTGTTGGCTCCCGCCTGTAATCCCAGCACTTTGGAAGTCCAAGGCCGGTGGATCACAAGGTCAGGAGTTTGAGACCAGTCTGGTCAACACAGTGAAACCCCGTCTCTACTAAAAATACAAAAAAATTAGCCAGCCGTGGTGGTGTGCACCTGTAATCCCAGTTATTTGGGAGGCTGAGGCAGGAGAATTGTGTGAACTCAGGAGGCGGAGTTGCAGTGAGCTGAGGTTGCAGCATTGCACTCCAGTCTGGGTGACAGTGCAATACTCAGTCTCAAAAAAAAAAAGAAAGAAAAGAAATTCAGCCTCGTGTCAGCTCCTGTGCTTTTGATTTCTTTGGGAGCAAGTCCTAATAGTTTAGTTTGCTGAAATGTATGAGAAAAGAGTGGACCGAATGCAACGCAGGTTTCCCCCGCCAGTGACGTCCCCGTCCCATGGTCTCTATGGTCTGGGGCCAAGTGTCCCAGGGGTTGACTTGTGGGAGAAATGGTGGGGGAAGGGAAGCAGCCTGCAGCTCAAGGTCCTAGCCACACTGAGATGGAACGTATCTGGACCAGCCTATCAGGGGCCTGTTCAGATCTCAAGCCTGGCTTTAGTGTCAGTAAAGTGATAGCTGCTGCCATTGCTGCCATGATAAGGTGACAGAGCCCATCAGAATATTTTGGTCTTGTACTTTCCATTGTACTTAATTGATATGTTTTTATTTGGGCCTTTCAGTTGTATGAGCATAAAATATTTATATCTCAGTTTACATCTAGATGCATTTACGACATATTTTCCTAAAAGTAATTTCATTCAAACTTGGGTGTTTCAGAGAATGTTTTGTTTCTTTCCAAGTGGTCTTTTATGTCACTCAAACTTGAGAAAAATGGCTTTGACTTATTTTAATTCTGGGTAAAATAAGAAACAAAATTTTAAATTAGTTTATCTTCAGAATTTGTATTCTGGCAGTCTCCTAAGACGCAAGTGAAAAGGCCGATGGTGATGAGAGCTCATACATAAACATCTTCAACAGAAGACTACACGGTCACTTGAAAGACTTGGTGGGTTCAGACCACAACAACAACAAAAACAGGACTAGAGGCAGCACAGAGTTAGACGGGAAGAGCTGGAAGGGGTCAAGTTATTTAAGATGACCTCGGAAGGCGATCTGCAAACCGTGCTCATCACAGGAACATCAGTGGGAAAATGGCCAGCTTTAAACTCAGTGTGCTAAGATGAAGCTTTAAAATAACAAAATTAGAACAGCAAGACGGGCACAGCACACAGAATGCATTTGTGTAGAAAGACAGGAAGAAGTTAGCGGAGGGGGTGGAGGAGGCAGGGAGGAAAAAAATGGGCCTGATGAATAAAAACCACAGTACTGCTTCTGGATCTGGAGTTAGCACATCCAGTCCTGCCATGCCCGTGTGCAGCACCTCCCTCACAAGTGGCTTCTTTTGCATGCATTTTTGGTAAATCCGCATTGACTCTTAATGACCGCACATTACTTTATGTAATGAGTATTCCTTATGTAATATGTGAGTAAGTGCTCACACGATTTTTTTCTTTGGGTGGTTGACGGATGAAACTGGTATAACGCTCACTGCTTTTCGACTTTTGAGATTCAATCTTTCCTCATTCTGAACTCTTCTGTTTGTTTGTGTTTTTGTGAGACGGAATTTCACTCTTGTCACCCAGGCTGGAGTGCAATGGCGCGATCTCGGCTCACCGCAA